AATGTTCTTGGTACCATTTAATTCAGACCTACTTGGAGGAGAGTCTCTTGAAGTGAGCTGTAGCAGGATTCCCTGGATTTATTCCTGGACAAGTGAGTTTTGTGGCAGTTGGACAAGGTTTTGTCAGGGAGGGGTGTGATGCTGTGAAGCCTTTAAAGTTGCTGCACTGCAAAAGAGTTGGCTGTGTCCCACACACAGGCTTGGGAAGTAGCTGGCAAAGCAGGAGGAAAAGCAGGAGAAGCCTTGTGTGTTCACATACGCTATGCCACGAGGTGGTAAGAATGTGTTGTAATCACACAGGGACGCAAGAAGGGCAGTCACTGTGTGCCTGCCACCTGTCATTTCTTCCTTATCGATAGCCATCAAAGGCTCATGGTCTGCCATGTCTGGATGCTCTAGATTTGTCATTGTGGCACCTTCTACATGTAGCAGCCACTAGACCACTAGAAGTCTAGGTCTGGGTCCTAGTAGAGCTACCCAGGCATCTTTGTGTGGAGATCTGGTGGAGCAGCATGTGGCTGGATTGTACAGACTGGCCCTGATCCCCTTAGGCTGACCCTGGCAGCCATGCTTCCTGAGTGGCTATTCTTTCCTGGGCCAGATGTGGGAAGGGTTGGGAAAGTGCAGGTTGAGCACTGGTACCACAGCACTGGTTTCTCTCCGGACTATGTGATTTTGAGGGCTTCTAAGATGTTGCTGTCAGTTTGTGTCCTATAGCTGAGCCCTGATAGCTGGGCTGTGTGAGTCCTGCTCCATGCAAATACCTGGTTTAGTGTAAATCAAATAGGAGGCAGGCATTTCCAGAGCCAGAATCCCTTCAGCAGATGCTGGTGAAGGTCTGAGAGATGAGGGACTTAAACTCTTGTCCTGTGGTGGGAGACCTGGGATGAGTGATACTGGTAGAAGGCAGTTCCCACCTGGATGCAGGCTGGCCAGGCCAGTGCCAGACAATGACATGCATCCTGCCAGTAGCTGCTGCTGTTGCAGAGGTGACATTCCCCTGACTTCTGGTCCTTCACGTACCAGTCTTGTGTGCAGGGCTGCAAATAACCCTGTTAGCAGAACTTAACACTGGGAAATGCAAGGCAGAATTCATGCTACCAGGATATTGTGGAAACCAAACCATTGTTGGGGGAAACTGCCAAGTAAAAGTTATCAGCTCCATCAGTTCATGTCTTTTTCCAGGTATCATTCCAGCTGGGAGAAGAGCTTGGGCTCAGACTTCATTTGTTGACCTGCCAGCTCTGGCAATAGGCATTTAAACCTTTCTTATGTCAGTGAGAAGCAGTGATTGATTGTGCTTCTGTATCACTGTAGATAAATTAGAGACTAGAAATTTCCAGTGGCACCTGGAGGGGATGAAAGTGGGGTGAGATCTCTGAATGGTGTCAGGAATAGTGCTAGGAAACTCCTTGAGTCTTGCTGCCTATGAGTCATAAAGGGCCCTGGTATAGTCAGAACTTCTGTTAGAGCATTCCCTGCTGTCACCTCCTGTGCTGGGTGGCCTTCTTCTCTTTGCTGCTACTCACCTCTCTCTTTCCATTCTCCATAGGAAGAAACTAGCGATCTGTTGCTGTGACGTTGCGTGGAAGCCACGTTGTAAAGAAACCACAAACTGGAATCCTTTTCCAGCCGGAGGCCTGTTTCCCAGTGCGCCCATCTGGTCTGGGATGCGTGAGCATTGAAGGAATGAGAGGACAGAGCAGATGTCTTGCAGCCTGCTCCTTGGGACCACAGCCCTCCTGCCAGGGCATGCCACCTCAGCGGGAGCACGGCAGTACCTGGCCTGTGCAGGCACTCAGTTGGCACTGAAGCTGTAATGCCGGGAGCATGGCAAATCAACGTAGCTGGGTCTATCTAATATAAAATGGTGATCACTCATCCGCCCACTGTTTGGTAACTGGTGTAACTGTGTTTTCATCTGTGTTTTTTTAATATGCAAAAGCCATTTAATTTTCTATGCAGTTAAAAAATGTCTCCCCTTTGCAACTGCCAGGTGGGAGATCTGTGCAGGAGAACCAAGCCAAGTGGCTGAGAGTCCTTTTGATTTTACTGTCGCTCTCTTTTAAGGATGCATCCTGGAATCCTCTGCACACAGTGTCCCCTTGCTGAGCCCCTGCTTCTTAGACCCCACTTAACATCCCTGAGACCCAAGGATGAGGACCCCAATTTTTTAAAGGGTGTCATTTTTTGGGAGTCAAGCCACAAGGAAAAAGGGCTTGAAGGCAGTGCCCTAAAAGCAGAGAGACCCGAGTTCAGAGCTTGTATTATATACCTGTTCTTGTCCCTGCTCAGAGAGTTCCTGTAACTGAAACAGCTAAGGCCTCTGCAGAGCACCCTGCAGCCTTTACTGACAATGTGTTATGAATAGGGCAGAAAGGACTGGGGCATCAGTTGTCTCTCTGTGGAGCTGACAGTGAATTTAACCCCTTTGGAATAGAAGAATCTCCTGGTACTAGGTGCCTACATCACTTGAGAGGATTGTGCTGGGTTTGCCTGTTGGTGTGCAGACCCTTTGTTTGCTGACCAGTTGATTTCGTACTGAAACTGGTACAGACAGATTTGGAAGTAGAGCTGGCAAGTTGCTTTGCACTGCAGGCCTTTTAGCAGCTGGATAATGTCCTGGAGTACCTTGTGTTATGCTCTGAAGCAAAACCTGCATCCGTCCAAGTGAAACTCCCAGGATAACAACTTTGCCGTCTGCTGGGTCTGTGTAATGTGAGAAATTGCATGGCCCTAAGCAGCACAAAAACTTGTTGAGGTAGAGTGAGAGGGAACCTCAAGGGTGATGTTGCACATCTAGCTCATCTTAGGGCTTGCCAGGGTACTTGGGTGATGGGACACCTTTGCTTTTACTGTGCTAAAGGCAAAGAGGTCAGAGAAATATGGTTGTTTCCAACCTGCCGCAATGTCAGGATGCATTTGATAGTCTCCTTTTGTGTTCTTTCTGTATTGTGTCTCTGCTATGAGTTTGGGGGACTTGGCATTTAAACAGAACTAGAGAACAGATTGGGACCTAACCTGCCTTGTGGTCTCTCAAATCAGATGGAAAAGACTGGGGACTGTGGAAGCTTGGGTTATCTCCCCTGCAGCATCCCCCATACTGGAGTTCCACAGTGGCTGTGAAAACTTAATAGTGTATGTGGGTGCTGCTTTCCCAGGAACCCAAGATGTGCTTGGCTGTGCTGTAGCACCAGAGCTTACGTGAGGTTCCTGTCCTCTTCTCTTTGTACCTCTGAGGTAAAGTTTGTAATAGTGGCTCCTTCATCTGAGGAGTCGGATACACTTGTGTTAAAGGGAACTGCAAATGGTGTTTAGGAGCTCACTAAGTGAGATGAAAACCCATGAGCTCCCTCCTGCAGAGCCAGATCCCAGAGTTCATCTCCTCACGTGCCCTTTGGATTGGATCTTGGGCTGGCATCCTTGGAACGGCAGCGCAGGGAGGTGGGGATGCTGCACTGCAGTAAGCACAAGAAGAGGCAAGCCACAAGTGGGCCTCCATGTAGCACTCATCATGCGCTTCATGGCTCAGTTCACGGACTGTAACTGCAGGTATTCATATACTCGACATCACTGGGCAGGACTCTGCGCACACGTACATGCATGCCCAGAAGCACACGCACCACACCCACACTTGCCCACACATCCTCGCCAAAACGACTGAGAATAAAAATGATCTCAATCTCAAGGGGAGGTTTGGCTCTTTGATTCGGTTTTGCTCTTCCAGTGCCTCCTTGGGCCCTGCCTCTGGAAGGGTCTGCGCCTCATTGTACATCTGGGGTTTTCCAAATCCATTAGGAAAATTTGTTAGGAGCACGGTTAGCAAATGACTCACAAAACCAGCAGGAGATTTGGCATTGAGTGGGTCTGAGCAGGGAGCCCCTTGTTTGGGTTAACATCTAGGAACCATTGCCCACTCCAGCAAGGCAGGTGATTTCTGGGCAATGGCTTTTTCCCTGCTGTATTCAGGGTGTTGCATGGGTTTGCGAGGCCAGCTCGGTGGTTCTCGTTGGTACCATCTTTGTTTCCTTGCAAAGCTTGGTTCCCTCATTCTTCAGAGGCGAGAGCAGTCAGGCTGATGGCCTTCTGCTTGTAGCAGTGCCTGCAGGGTGAATTAAAAGTAGGAAGTAAGTCCCTTCCCGCACAGCCCCAAGCGGCTGTGTGACCCCACTTCCATCACCACTCTCATCTGGAGGAGACAGGACTGATCTCTGCGGCAGCCCCACCGAGCACGGGGGTGCTGCATAGCAGGTCACGGGGAAGGAATGTCAGCATCTGCAACAAGCTGCTGGTGTGCCAGAACGATACAGGGGGTGACACTGAGAGTGGGTGCCTGAGCCCCAGCCACAGCAGGGCAATAAGGAGACGCTTAGGGGCTGGCATAAGCGGAGGTGTTGAGGTAGCCACATACACTGCCTCTATCACATGGACTGAAGGGGAATCTCTTGAGTATGGGGCTAGGCTGTGGGAAGCACCAGCAAGAAACTTGATGCATGCCAGAGGTCTCTCCCCTTTGCCTTCACGTCCTGGCTGAGAAGGCCCCTGTGCCATCTACGCTACCTGCTTGTTGGCTGCAGGTTAAAGGCTAGGGGGAAGAGCATGTGAGGCGGTTTCACAGGGCAGGAAGGGGATGGGGTCAGCTGAATCGCCCCGGTGGCCGTGTCCTGGCCTCCCACACACTATGGGTGTCCCGGATGCACATTTAGGACGCCCTCAGTAAAGTCCCTTTCACAAGGAGAGGGACGTGGAAGCATAAATAAGCTGTCAGTCCAGTGCATCTTTCCCGCAACACAGAGCTTCCAGAGAGCTGCTGTGACCCCAAACCCAGGAGGGTACTCCGCCAAAGCTGGGGAGGGTATGGCAGGAGCACGGCAGCAGAGGTGCTGCGGAGGCGATGAAGCAGGTTTCTATCCCAAGGCGGTAAGGCGGCGGCCGGACCGAGCCGCTGTTCCGGTCTCACGACGGGGGTGGAGGTGGAGCCGGCGGCAGCTGGGCCGTCCTACAGGCCAGGGGCGGGCCCCGCGCTCTCCCCGCCCCCCGACGGGCGCCCGGCCCTCCGCCGCCGCCATGGAGGAGCAGAAGGAGAACCGCCCGCAGGCAGCCCCGAATGAGGCATCGGCGCCGCCCGCCGCGGCCGCCCGCCCGCCGGTGAGTGCGCTGTGGCGGTGGGAGGCGGCGGCTGACCCCGCTGGAGCCGGGCATGCGCCCACTCCCGCGCCCCTGGCCCGCCGCTGCCCCCGCGCATGCGCCGAGGCCGCCCCGCGGCCCTCCCATGGCGGCGGCGGTGCTTGCCGCGGCCCGAGCCGTTCCGACGGGGCTCGGCACGGCCCGGCCGGGTACCGAGGGGGCGCCTTCGGTGCCGCGGGCCCTTCCGCCTGCGCCCGAGCCTGGGGGAGGCCGCGGCGGCAGCGGGCCCGGGGAGGCCGGCCCCATTTACGTGCTTGTCCCACAAAGCGCGCGAATAGCCGTTTGGAGTAGAAGTGCGTGTAGTTCGTCATCTTAATTTACTCTTTTATTTATATTGCACATATTGGCCATCTGCCCGTGTGTCTCAGTCAGTGTGGAATCGGTATCACGGCGGACAGGGCCTTGAGCAACCGGGGGTAGTGGGAGGTGCCCCTGCCCAGAGCAGGGGGGTTGGAACTGGGTCATTTAAGTCCCTTTCTAACCCAAACTGTCCTGTGATTCTGGGTAGTTGAGGTGCCGAGAGGAATATCTTGATGCTGGCTAAGGTTTTGCGGCTCATACCAGAGAACTAACTTTCTCTGTTGAAATTAGGACGCCCATTTAGACGTTTATCTGTGAGAGCTGCTGATAGGCACGACTTCAGACATGTACATTACTGTCCCATTATTCTGTCTGTCGATTTTTAGGCTTCAGTACTGATTTCCTTCCCTGTCTATAAGCTAGTGCACCTGCAGTGTGAAGCAGTGTGATGCTTCACTGCGGTTTGGTGCCAAGATCGTTTAAATCTTAATGGTCTGGCCTCTTGGTTTCACCTTAAATGACCTTCACGTTTCTCTTTCTTCTAGGGTAGGCAGCATTGTAGGATCAGTGACCAAGAAACTAATGGGAAAAAGTCAACTGCCAGTCCAAACGACTTCAGTGATCCGGTCTATAAAGAAATTGCCATGACCAATGGTTATATCAACAGAATGACCAGAGAGGAGCTGAGAAGTAAACTTGCAGAGTTCAAGCTTGAAACCAGGTTAGGCTGATTTATAAACCTTTTGGTTTATCTTTGAGAGCAGCAAAGACACAGGGAATGAGTATTTTGAAGTTTAGAAATACACCGTAAAGCAAAAAGCAGACGCTTCACCAAACACCAGCTGGTTTGTGTGCAGTCTTGATGCAGATGTTGTTGGGTTGTTGCATGTGATGCTGCTTCATGTGTTACCAGCAACGTGTGCTGCCTCAACTGCTAACACAAAGTGGAACAATATGTAACTGTAGAGTACTTCTCAACACGTATTTGGTCAAGTAGAACTGCAGGGGTTCTCAGGTGGTGGTGCAGACCTTCAGGGTATAGAAACTCGCTTCGGGGCATACATGGTTTTGTTTACTGTACACACTACAGATCTGATACTGGCTGGAACCGCTGTGGTGGTAGGGCTTGGAATTTAATCGATGCAGAGGACAGGTACCTTTAGATGGAGGATTTGCTAATCTGAATAGATGAGGTAGAATAATGAGAATAGGTGAATATGTTATTAGCTGCATGTGTGCTCACTGAGGAGGAGGAAAGGGCTGGGAATATAGAGTGGTTCTTCCTGGAAATGACCTGCAATACTGTTTGATATTACTGTGGCAAAGCAAATTTGGGATGTTGAGGTCAGCTGGGAAAAACAAAGTGTATTGTGTCTGTTTGCAGCAGGAATGAGGAAGTAGTACTGGTGGTGGGGAGTTGGCAAAGTGAGAAGCTACTTCTCTAGGGGAAGAGGGAATATGAAAGGTGAGAGTATAAAAGGAGAAGTCTGGCTTTCTAGAGAAGAGGATGTTGGGGGGGAGAGGAAGGAACAGAGGTTCCTTTGAACAGAGTAACAGAAAAGAGACTTGTATGGGTGGGAAGTGCAGTCTGTCTGCAGATGTTCTGATGCATAGCTTTTTTAATTCCTCCTTTGGTTAAATGGATTTAGCTCCTCAGGAGGAAAAAAAATTATCATTATCTGATAATTTTTTGTAAACCAGTTTAGATTTGTACAGCTGTTCAGCAGTTACCCTGATTTAAAAACAGAAAGCAGAATTCAAGTAGTTAAGGACGTGTTTGTGGTTACCTCCTCACTTTTTAATTTTCTATTTGTTTTTATTCAGTTGTAAATGCAGAAAGCTTTAAACTTTACTTTTAGCTAAGCTAGACTTACCTCATCAATAAATTCAGTTCTGTTGGCCAGAATATGTCTACATGTAAACAGTAGTGCATCACCTCAAATGTAGAGAACTGAGCAGACTGCCACACACCAGTCCTTTTCCTTGGGGTTGTTCTGATAGCAGATCATCTCCTCTTTCAATTCCATTTATAGGTTTGATGAAGAAAAAGGTATTTTTCCCCTCCATTACCTTCCGTACTGTCTCAACTTTGAATGAACTGGTGGCCATTGGGTTAAAGTAGCTTAATAAACCACAGTGAAAAAGACTTACCTGTGTTTGCAGAAGCAGCTGATGTTCTCAAATGCAGGTTTAGTAGTCTGATTCCACTTTTCTCCTTGTGGATCAGTGGGCTGCTTTTCTGATAATACCACTTGCTACAAATAGCTATTACAGCTTCTGTGGTTTCATTTGCAATGTGTAACTTTAAAAATAACTTCCTTGGAAGAGTAAATTATCTTGTTTATTCAGCTCTGGTTTGGTACATGGCAGTTCTGGCACCTGCGCTTGCATGTTATAATGTTTATGTTAAAAAGATGCAGTAACTTTAGTCACTTGCTACTGTGAATTCATGTGTTGTCCATGAACCTCCTGAAAAGCAGGATCCCGAACAGGAAGTTTTTCTGACAGCTGAAATCTCAAGTACTTTATTTTAATTGAGTTACTGAAGCTCAATTTTAAATTTAAATTGAGACTAATTTAAAATGTGGATGTTTTAGCTTGATTCTGCATTATCTGTGTCACTGATGCAGAAATATCTCAGGCATCAGTCTCTTCAGGCAGAGGGCACAGGGAAATATGGATGAAGCAGTACTGTGCTTCCAGGTCCAGAGGTCATCTAGGAGCAATCTGCAAAGACTTGGGCTTTGCAAAAGCTTTGGCTGCTGTGTTATTTGGTGATGTTGTGGGTGATATTGCAGCCTCTGCATTACCCCAGATAATGGATGGTAAAACTGAACTCAGACTTCGCAAGTGATCATGCTCAAAATTAGGTTCATAAATGATAAACTTTCAAATGTTAAACAGAGCTTTAGTTCTACAGTGGTGGAATACTCAGTCACGTGTGAGTGTGATCTTTGTCACTTATCTCTTTAGAGGAGTAAAAGATGTGCTGAAAAAGAGACTGAAAAACTATTACAAGAAACAGAAGCTGATGCAGAAGGAGCCCCTTAGAGACAGCTGCTATGACTACATCTGTGTTGTTGACTTTGAAGCAACATGTGAAGAAGGAAACCCACCTGAATTCGTACATGAAATAATTGAGTTTCCTATTGTCTTACTAAACACGCATACCTTGGAAATAGTAAGTGATCTGATTATTGATTTATTATTTTCTTCCATAAAGACCTATCTTCTGTGCTTCCTTACATACATGTAGAACTTTCTTTCTGTTCTTAAAGTATCTGTTACAGATTGTGCTGTTGACTCCCTCTATTTATATGAGGGACTTCCAGTTTCCCAGTCGTCTTGTCCCCTCCCTACTCCTTTCCCTGCCTTCAGATCCACAAAGCTGTTTCTAGGACTGAAGGGATTCACCATGAACAGGAATTGGCAAATTCAGTGGTCCTGTGTGAGGCAATGTAAAAGAGACTAATGCAGAGGCCTAAAAGGGTGGTTGAGTGAACATTCCTTCTTGTCAGGCTAGACTATATCCACAGTGTACCTGCCAGATTGACAGCTGTGTAACCTGATTTTAAACATACTTAGTAGGCATTTGGCAGCCTTGGGTGCTCTGTTCCAGTATAGCTGTCTTTTAGAAAAAACAACTTGCTGTCTAACTTAAACTGTGACTCTGAAATGGAGGAAGTGCACCCACCTCTGCCTAACGGTTCATTTATCAAGAACTTCTTAAGAGGAGGAAGATTTCTAGTAATCACTGTGGTGCTGCATTAGAGTGTAGCTGCATGTATGACTTAACTGCAGAAAGAGCATTGTGAACATTACTAAGATTGGTTTATTACCTTTAGAGTAGCAGGAAATAGAGGTTTTGTATAGCAGCAGGGGTCTGGGGCTTTCTTCTTCCTATGAAACTTGAATATAGTCATCACTCTTGCACTGCTCAGTCTCCCAGAGTGAGCAGTCATTGTGTTTATCTCTGGCTGGCTGGCATCCAGAGGAGTGTGACTTATATGCAGCCTCTGACATGTGTGGCCAGTTGCCTTCCTTGAGTTACAGTTGAGCCTTTAGATACCACCTAAAAAGTTTCAGTCTTTTGTCATGCCTCTCACTTCTCTGGTACTTCCTCATGCTTTCCTTTTCCACTGTCTGACCCTTTATTACAGTCTGTCCTTCTCCCCTCTTGCCCACATTCCTGTTTTCCGGTGTCTCCTAGCTGAGGGGAAGGACATGTTGTGGTTGGAGAGCCACCTATCTGTCCCGTTGGGAACCTCATGATGGTCAGTCAGCAGGCTCTTATTGGCTTTGGAGGTGCACACACCTTTTTGACTCCAGCAGGATGCAAGTAGTTGCTACTGCCTTTTGGGTATAGTCAAACCCAAGAAGTTGCCTTGCTGCTGAGTGATTCTCTGATTACAGGAGGACACCTTTCAGCAATACGTGAAGCCAGAGATTAATCCCAAGCTTTCAGACTTCTGCATCAGCCTGACAGGAATCACCCAGGTACTTTGCACTTTTGTTTTTTCAGGGCAAAACAGTATGGAAAAAAAAAAAAAAAGATGTGGTGTTGATGTTTTCAGACTGGTGATCTTTCAGTGGTCATTTTTCTGTAAGGGTTATTCTCTTAATCCTCATTTTCCCCCTTTCTCCCAATTATCACAGAATTGATTTCCCTGAGTTGGTCATTTAGTTGTTTGTAAAGGACTGTAGGGCAAAGCATTTACTTTGTAATCCATGTGCAGCAAATTAGTCTTTAGCAGAGGAAACCACTTTTGAACTGCATCGGTTCCTTTTCTAAGGTTTTTATTCTAAAGGGCATAGAGTCTTGCAGTGGCTTGTGATCAAGTGACTGAGCAGGAAGGAGTCTGGGAAACAAGCTCAGAGGCTTTAATCCTGACTAACCTTCATGGATGCTGTTTGGAGGTTGGCTCTTATTGTGCTTTTGTGGTGCCTGTTTTTAAGTTCAGAAAAATGTGCCCAATTGTCTGCTTATCTCAGTGTGTGACCTGTTTCTAAAGATTCCTGTGAAGCCAACTGAGTGAGTTAGTGAGTGCCTGTATACCAATAGAGTTCTTACACTTCCTGCTGGTTTGGTTTGGGGTTTTTTATTTTAAAATGTTCCTCACTGATGGTTGGGTTTTTTTGTTCTCTTAGGACATTGTTGATAAAGCTGAGACATTTACTCAAGTTCTGCAGAATGTCATAGAGTGGATGAGACAGCGAGAGCTGGGAACAAAATACAGCTATTCCATGTTGACAGATGGGTATGTCCTTATGCAGCCTTCAGCACAATCTAAAACTGCGAAACAGTGCCTAATCTTTGTGAGAGCATTGTTAAATGTGGATCATGACACTGCCATTTTGCCATTTTATTACTGTTTTAGCTTTTGGGAAAATCAGACAAGACGAACTAAACAATTTGAAATGAAGCTTAAATCCATTAGATGGCACTGTTTCTTTCCAAACTCTCTTCATGCAACTAAATGATACTGAAAAGACTTTTTACCCTTTTTTTGTTGTTGTGATTCTTTGTTTACATCTAGCTTTCGTATAGCACATAATACCTGAAAATAACATTGTGCAGTTTCAGTTCTAAGCATCTTCCGTGCTCTCCTGAATCTGAGGTTTCAGAGATGTGTGGTGGTTGTGTTATATCCTATGTTTGTCAGTGTTGCTGTTAATACATCCTGCATCTTTCACTAGAAAGCAATAATGATTATGCTGTTTATAAAACAAGGAGAAATGGCTAGCACAGAAACCTCTCTGTGTGGATCTTGGTGAGTCCCACCCTCTGACAAGCTTTGTGGGTGAGGGATTGACTAGTCTTTTTAACTGCCATCTGAACTTGCTCTCTTGCAAGGTCTGTGTGGAAAATCAAGTTCCCTAATGACTGCGGAGTGAACAGATCTTGAGATCTAGGTATATCTGTGGTGCAGTATTGTTCTTGTGACCTTAGCTGTGTTACATGATGAAGCGTACTGTTGAGCCTTATGTAGTACTGCCCAGGGATTTTTTCTGTAGGTGGTGCTTGCTTTTTAGCTGTGAAACACTACTGTTCTGTTAATGTGTCTGCTTTCCTTCCTTCTTTTGGAATGAGGTATTCAGGTAGAACAGGGAGTTTTTAACATCAGCCATGGTTGTGGTTTAACCCCAGCTGGCAACCGAATATCGTGCAGCCACTTGTTCACTCCTTACACCAAGTGGGATGGGAAAGAGAATTGGGGAAAAAAAAGTAAAACCTGTGGGTTGAGATAAGAACAGTTTAATAATTACAATAAATGTAATATAATAGTACTACTGGTAATAATTATGATGATGAAAAGGGAAATAACAAGGAGAGAGATACAAAACTAAAAAGTGGAGGGGGGAGCTCAAACAAGCAAACAAAAGCCCCTCAACCCGACAAACAGCAGTGACGCACAGTACAATTGTTCAGCACCTGCTAACCCAGCCCATTCCTAAGCAGCAATTGATCCATTATGGCCAACTCCCCCCAGTTTATATACTGGCCATGACATGCTGTGGTATGGAATATGCCTTTGGTTAGTTTGGGTCAGGGGTCCTGTCTCTGCTCCCTCCTGGCTTCTTGTGCCTGTTCTCATGTTCAGAGCATGAGGGACTGAAAAGTCCTTGATCAGGGTAAGTGCTACTGAGCAAAAACTAAAACATCAGTGTGTTATCAGCATTATTCCCAGACAATCCAAAACACTGCACCAACTACTAGGGAATAAAGTAACTCTATCCCAGCCGAAACCTGGACACCTGCATTGAGGTGAATGGTGCATTTTCACGTTGCTGTGCCTGTTGTTTGTCTTCTGTTGTGCTGAATTAAAAAGGCAGTTCTCTGCTGCTCTGATACAGTGACAATATTGATACAGAGGGAGATGAATCCCAAAACAAAACTGGAGTTCATGAAAAAAGAGCGTGGGGGATTTTAGTATGACTTCCTAACGCTTCTGCCAAGTAAAACACAGATAAACAGTGGTGTGAAAAATAATGTATCATAGGAGATGAATGGATACATAACAGAAGCTTTTTTAACTAACCCATCTTAGTGACTGGGAAATTGTTTTTTTGCCATGACACTTTTTTCTTACACCTCCTAAATATCTGGACAATGACTACAAATCACAGGTCTTTTCAGCTGAAGAACCTGTATCAATGAAATGCCATTGTGTTTAGTGTGAACAGTGAAGGCATGTAGAAGCTGTCACACGAGATTGGAGGTGTACAGTTTAGATCTGTGTACACCTTAAAAATAAGGAATTAAAATAATGTCATTCCAACTTTAAGTAATATAAGGAACTGTGGTAAATACTGCTATTTGACTAATTTTTTACCTATTATTAGGTTTCTGTCTTTGGAAGCAACAGTAAATTACAAAATGCTAAAGCAAAACTGATTCAAGACTGGTTGTATTACTGGGCCTAAATGTATCTGGAATTCCCCTCCAGAGGAATCCCCTCTGTGAAATTCCTTAAGGAATATAGGTGCAGTGAAACCTCTGCCATATGGGTGAGATTGCACAGATAGCTGCAAGATTGGGGAAGAAGGGCTTTATCTTAGCTTGAAGCCTAGAAACATGTTGGGGTGCAGGCTAGAAGTGCATAGGGTTGTAGTTTCATCTTCTTTCCATGAAGGTCTGGTTTCTTCTACAACTAGGTGCAGTCTTGTTTCAGTAATCTATGTGAAGCAGAGAGATGCATGCATACCCATTTATTTAGGAAATTTAAGGTGTCACTTGCTTCCCCAAGGGCTTCATAAGCATCTAGTTTATTGGCAGTTTTTGGAGTAGACATTGTAGGTGGAGAGGTTGGCATGCTGTTTTTTGTTTTAACCTTGCTGGACATGAAACCATACTCGTGAAAACCTTGCTCATGTCATTATTTGTTCTCCCCATGATTAACAAATTCATATTAAAAAGTCCTTTACCGTAAATGTAGGAAAAGAGCTTTTCCTAAACTGTTTTCCTTCTACTAGTCACCAAAGAAAAGCAGCTTTTTGTGCTACAGCTGTGCAATATGTAGAAAGCAGAGCATCTGAATTATGTATTACTAATGTTTTTCTCTTTTGACTTTTTAAGATCTTGGGATATGAGTAAATTTCTGAACACCCAGTGCCGTATTAGCCGTATCAAATACCCTTCTTTTGCCAAAAGATGGATCAATATTCGCAAATCATATGGGAACTTCTATAAGGTTTGTACAAATTGTTGTTTCTCTTGCAGGAAGATTTGGTTTAAAAGTCTAGAATGTCCTGTTGTGCTTGTCATCTTTCCTTGTGTAGTATCAAATTACCCTCCCTAAGCAAGTTGCCTGAGGCCTGATTTTTAATTCTGCTTCATGCCTAAATCTCACTTTCCTAATTGAAGATCATATAATTTACTGCAGTTTGATTGTAATCTTCTTTTCAAGAATCAGGTGTACCATGAAGGATTGTCTGAAGATGACATACCAGTGCTTATTGATCAAGTTCAACTGAAGTAGTTGACCTAAAAAGACTTTATATTGATTTTTTCAATTATTTTTTCTTGCTTTCGTGCAATATGCTATAAAATTAACTTGCATCACTACCCTCAGATATCTGTGCTTTTGACAGTGTAATGGGAGAGAAAGATTAGGACATACCTAATGTGGAATCAAATTGCCGAGAGAAAAGTAGCACCAAGTTCAGTGCTGAGCCTTATTACTGCTTTCTTTCACTGTCAGGTTACCATAAAAGGGGTTATTCAAGTTTCTAACAAATTCCTAGTCAGTCTACACTAAACCATTTGTTTGAACATGATTTCAGCCGAGCTTATGATCTTCTGTTGAAGGGCTCTTCCATACTTAATGTAACCTTCAGAAAAAAAGAGGTTAACATTTAACAGGAGAAGAGCTTTACATTGGGCTGGGCAAATATTACAGGGTTATTCCATGTCTCCTATTATTGTGCCTTCTCTGCATAAGCTTTTCTGTTGGAAACATGCTGGAACACAGAACAGTCTTGTTAGACCAATCAGCTTTAACCTAGACAGACCTTTCTCCTTTTTGCATTGAGAAGTAAGGGTGTTCAATGAAGAGCAATGGAAGATTGTAACTTAGAAGGAATAGCTTCTTTTTATTTTGTGTGATTTTTGTTTTTACAAGCAAATTATTTAAGCATTTATAGTTGTTCAGTGCTTCTGTTTAGCTATTCTGTGCTGCTTCTGTTGTTAAGTAATAGTAACAGATAAAATTAAGGACAAGGAATGTATTATAACTTTCCTGTGGAGTATCTCACAACATGCAGCATGTCTCCACTGCCCAGTCTGTGGGTGTTGTTTTTGGAGCTGCACATTGCCAGGTTTTGGCAACTGTGTAAGTCATCAATCTGCCTAGCTATTACATCCAGCAGTATGGTGCAATATCCTGGAGCTTGTCATGTCCCACGTTCCCCCACCCCAACCACCCCAAGAGCAAACTGGAGCTTTCCTTCAAAGTTACCCTTACGTTTTCCTGTGACTCTTCTGAAGAACAAATGTATAGCAGTTAATCAGAAGAACACTTGGGTGTTTTGCTGGTGTAGCACGTTGCCATGGGTAAGTCAGTTAAGCTTCCTTGTCCATGCTGTTTGCCATCCCTGTAAACATGGGTTGCTCTAAGTGTTCTTGATCCTTTCCTTTGGTGTTTGGAGGCATCCAGAAGCTTGAAAAACAAAATCTGATACCCTCTGTAATGCCACTTTGGGTGGTAATTCCTTTTATGTAAGGCTGGTTAAAACTAGGTAGACCATGGCTTCCACTGTTGCCAGTGTTGGGACATCTTGAACTGGTGCTGGTAATGGTGAGAGGCTCTTGACATCATTCTGAGTCTAGACAAGCCCCTGTTGACTGTGTCTCCTCTGTAAAAACGAGAGTGTCTGTCTCACCAAGGTGCTTTGAAGTTAAATTGTTAGTAATCTGTCAAAAGGCAACATGAAAGTAGTATGTGACTGAAGTAAACTTAAAATCTGCATATGTTTCTGCTGCATTGTGTTACATTAAAGACTTTGTACAGAACCTAATTCTTGAATGCTGTTCACTTTCTCCCATCAGGTTCCTAGGAACCAGACCAAGCTAACAATGATGCTTGAAAATCTGGGTATGAATTATGATGGGAGACCTCACAGTGGACTTGATGACTCTAAAAACATTGCAAGGATAGCTATAAGGATGCTACAGGATGGCTGTGAACTGCGGGTGAATGAGAAAATGCATGCTGGACAACTTATGACAGTCTCCTCCTTGGCCCCCTTAGAGGGAGCCCCTGCTCCACAGATGCCCCGCTACAGAAACTAGCAGTACAGGGATCTGCCTTAGGAACTGCTCCCAGATACCCACGAAGGACTGTTACAAACCGTATTGAACAGACACCTCTGCCAACCTGTCTGCAGTGCAGAATCCAGAAGCACCTTAACTGATCGCCTCTATTGAAATAGAGTGTGGAAGCTCTTTGCAGCCTGTGTTACAGTATTTGGTTTTTTCCTTATGTTATTTTGCTGTTGCTTGCAACTTACCCAGTAGTAAAGTTGATACGTGGGATATCTAGGCAATCTACTAAGCTTTTAAGAATGTGTAATTTAAACACATGCAAAGATCGATTTGGCTTGTGCACAGCTGTTCCACCCCAGCCTGTGGGTAGTATATATTCGCTATGCCCTACTCTTAATGATATCTAGGATCTGATTATTCATTGCACACAAATAAGACATGGCTGGAAGAACTGAAATAGTGAGTGGTTGGGCTGGCCTTTCCTGATAAGGCAGTCTTCTAAGGGCTCCTGCTGGTAACTTTCTGGGGTTTCTTACAAAGTCTAGAAGAAATGGGAGACTGTTCATGAGTTCTGAAGCAGTAGAAAAGTACTGTGTTGTCTGGGTGTTGGTTTTGTTTTCCTTTGAGGGATGTGTTTGTCTGCTTCCATGCTGAATAGAAGAGCTGTGTGTTGAATAAAAATTCCATTAATGCAGCATGGTAGTAATCTCCTTTTAACTTGTATTTAAAAAGAGAAGGATCCAGATTTTCCCTTTGAGGATCATATCTCCTATTCCTGCTATACTCATAGCTGCACTTCATTTAGTGTCACTTTTGGACACTGTCAGCCATGAGTGAAGTAAAAATAGGTTCAAAACATGCCAGGTCATCAGAATTTTGTGCTGTGTGGTTATTACACAAAACAAACCAAGAAGCTTCTAGTTCATAGGTAAATACATGCGCAACTATTTTCGGTAACATCCTGCGCCTCTGCCGCCATAAAGCTGTGCCTTTTAATACAATTTTATTAGCGAATGCCACATCTAATTATTAACAACTTCTGCTTTCTTCTTAGGCCCCAGATAAGGTGATACTCAAAACAGGTCATGCTGTTAATTTGCTTTGCTTGCATGGGCTGTTAATGAAGTACAACATCAATGCGATCAGCTTAGAATTGGAATGGCTTGTTCTGCAATGCAGAATGATGTATTTTGGTTGCTCTTAGTAAAAAAAGGAGTTAGATTGGTTTGAAATGTGAAAACTTTACTTCAGATTCGTGTAAGAGAAGTATTGGTCAAGTCTCAGTTGCTTCATATGGAGGTGGAAGCAGGTCCTTCTAGGGTTACAGATTTGGACAGCCACAACTGCTTTAGAATGTTCCGTTTTTTCTGAAAGTAAATACTTGTACTTGCAGGGTTTTTACTTTAAAACTTTATTAAGTTCCTTTCTGTAGTAGCCTTTGATGTATTTTCAGAATGTATATTTTTTCTATTTTATCCTTTTATTTAGAAGGATAAAATCCAGATCTCTGGTATGCTTACCTGAAAATACCATTTGTTAGCCCATGTTTGTACAAATTGTTAATTATATATTTGCTTTTCACCATAGCAACGGCACTTGTTGTTTCTGAAGAACCATAGTAATTTACTACTTTGGAGTTACTGTGATGCACATTCCTATGATAAAGTTTAGTCTAGCTCAGCAGATCCCCCTTTAGGTGGGGGCAGTATCATAGACTTTGTCACTACAGTTCTGTAACCAGGCTCACAGACCAATGAAGCGGTCTGACAAGGAAAGGCTTTGTTACAGGTTATACTGCAAGTTTCCTAAGTGAAGAGCTGTTGTAATTTTACATCATTTAAGTACAGAGTTGTTTATTTTTGTTAAATAACTTCAGAAAGATATTATTTAGATAAGGGTTAAATAATAATTGTTTTCTGTTTACTGCTTGAGTAGTTTTTTATCAGTAAGTTGCAGAAATCTATAGAATTATTCCAGATATTATTTTATCTGAGTTGGATTAATGTCAGGCTAAGATGTACCTATTTTCACAAAAATGTCTGATCCGGTGACTTTGAAGTGAACTTTATGAATGTTTGCTGATTTATTTGAAATGTAAATAAACTTATTAAAATAAATTGGTATTTATTAACATGTTAGGTTCTGAATTCACATGAAATGACTCCAGCAGTCCTGGCGGCCTTGGTCTCAGCATGGCCCAGGGTTAGTCTTCTCAGATGGACTAGTAACGTTGCTGTGTGCAGGTAGCTTAAGTCTCACGAACATGACTAGTTCACAACAACAAGTAACAGGATAAATCTTCCTGCATGGATTCATCCTAAAGGGGAAGGAGGCACTTGAGGGAAACAAAATGCGGCACAGTGATTTTAGTAGTGACACTTGTGTTCAGCCAAACGATGTTTTTTCAGGTTGATCTCGTTTGTTTGTCCACAGAAGCTTGCTGAGTGCATCCCTGCTGTAATGAATGCTTTTATTTATTAGAGGAGTCATCCCATGCTGGAAAAAGTAATTGACAACCATGTAAGAAACAATCTCCTTTTTATGCAGAAAAAACCCATGCAGACACTCTCCTGCTGAGAGAGTAAGAGGCCTTGTTTTGTTGTCTTATTTCACGTTTCAGGAGCTGTACTTGAGCAACTCTAATGCTACTGCGGACAGACTTTGGAAAAACCACACACAAACTTTAAACAAAGGAGTTGCAGGCACATTTCAACACGAGCACTTTCAAGTAGATTTCTTAATACGTATTTATATGAATATGAGAGGCATTCACAGAATCTTGGGGTTGTGTTAGAGAGGAAAAAAGGTCTCAGACAGGTTAAAGGCAGTAACCTCTCTCAGTGAACAAACATCAGAATAAACGTGGCTACTTGCGTGCTGAAGAAGAGGTCACAACAGCTTGTAGCCTCCCATCAGGCTAGTGTGGTATGGCTACAGGGACAAGTCTCAGCAGGTCAGTTGTCCATAGAAACTGCTTCTGTCTGTGCTTGTCTTAAAGTAATTTAATAATTCAATTTAACAAGGTGCTTGTTTCCATATTTTGTTGGAAATTAACACTGCAATGAGGAGGGACTGTTCTCAGCAATGGAAGTAAGTAAAAACCCTCAGTTCACCTTGAGCTGAGGTTGTTGTGCCCTTGTAGAGCTCTCTGTGCCTCGCTGCAGCCTTTGCTGCTCTTCGGTGACCTTGCAGAAGTAGCATTTTCACTGCGACTTTGCTAAAGAGCAGCTCATTTCTCTTGCCCTTCAGTTCCCAAGGCTGATTTTAAGGCCTCCCTTTCCCTTTTTCTTCCATTAGTGAACTTTTGCCTCCCCTGGAAAGAAGTTTGTCCTAGTTAAGATCTTTTTATGTTCTTTTTAATCTGGGGAAACAAACAAGCCCTTTCAAAAGAAGTTGGAAGTCTTACCTGACTGGAAGGATAGTTGGTCAAGAGACCCAGGTACTGACTGGAGGCTTTTGAAATGGGCTAAATGTATACAATTCTGTTGCAACCAAGGTCATTCTAGGCAGCTATGACCTTCTAGTTCCCTCTCAAGAGCTTCACATTTGACAGCCCCATGGATAACAGTGCAGCATACCACAAGGAATGGCAATATGTGAGGTAGCAAGGTGGTGGTTGGTCCATGCTTCTGCTCAATCTTGTGTTGAGCTGTGGCCTATCTGAACAGCTGCAGTAGGGAGCTGGCAACACTTGATTTTAGATCTTCCTGCCCATCCAGTGGAGAGTGGGGTGCTGGCCTGCAGGTATGGATGTACACATGAGGATGAGAAGCCATTTCTCTCTTGGGTTCCTTCTAGTTTGGGCTATGTGTGTTCAGAGCCCCCAACTGTGACTGGCTTTTGCCCTCTTTTAATTGGAGGACTCTGTGTTGTGGGAGATAAGCCTGAAGTAGCTTTGGGTGTGTGCTCCTTAAATTTAAGGAGTGTGACTGGTTTGCACCAAGTGGCCACACATGGAGGAAAGGCTTTTTGAATGAATGCCAGGAGCCATAGACACCTCTTCATGGCAGAGGTGACCTCTGGGTGTGTTCTGATTAGGGATACGATTGCATTAGGGGTAGTTTAGGCAGCTCTCCTCTGTGGCCACTCAGTCCAAGGGTGCCCTGTGGGTAGTACCATGCCCTGCTCCTGTGATCTTAACTCAGTGTGGTTATGACTGCACATGATAATTGTAAATCTTGTAATGCTGCTTGCAGATACATGGTGGCTTGGGGTATTTTTTCCTACTTTCTGGCTAAGTTATTGCTAATCATGGGGGGGTTTGCTGTTTGAAGTGAATGGTACTAATGGTCTTGCATTGGTAAAGTACTTGCACTGATTCTGACCTCCTTTGTTTATGTTCCCTGTTTCAGTGATGTTGTTGAAGAGCACACGTAGCCAAATGGACCCAGAGATGTCCCAATAGGCAGGAATTGCTTCATCATGCTTGTGCTCAGCTTTGGGGTGGTGTGCAGGTCCAGGGCTGCAGGCTGGCCAGGAAGCATGACACACCTTCCCAGACAGCTTACAGGCTCAGCAAAACACCGTGCTTGGGTATCTCTTATTTTCACTTACAACTGCAACCATTGTGATTTGAAGGTCTCCTTGCTGTGTTCCTGTCTTTATTTCATAACATTTCATAGTTTGAATTGATAAAGAGTTGAATACTTAATGCTCTGAGTAGCGTGAAAGCACTTTATGTGTAATTCAGAGGCAGGCGTAGCAGCCAGCAGTCTGAAACTCAAAGTGCCTCCCTTTCTCACATGAAAACACTTATATGCTTGTGATTAATTTCCATTCATGCAGGTACGGGCTAAGGTGATAGAGACCTAAAAAGAAGGAGAAATGACATGTTATCAGCTATCTATGCAGGGTAAGCCACATGTGTGCTTATAACTATCAGTGTAGTCTGAGTGTTTAATACGGTTGATGAACTTTGATAACAGGCTTTCTGGGAAGCTTAATGCCACGTACAGAGGGGTAAAGTGACTGCTTCTGCACTAAGCGTGGCTGTATTTAGGTAGAATCTGGGGGATAGCATGGTCATATGTTGCTGTCCTCCACAAAGAGAGGGAAGATGGAGCCAGCCCCACAGCCTTGTGTTAGTGGTAGCTCTGCTCCAAGTGGGAGTCTTGACAAGAGACCTCTTTTCCAAATGGTTCTGTAAAAACCAGTCAGGGGAAAAACAAGGGATGGTTTATCCA